TGGAGAATTTTACCCAAAGGTAAATGACATAAAATTATTGGAACTGAGGAGCTGACCTACAATCTCAGCCCAAGAGATCATCTCAAGTAGGCTTAGCCACAAAAGTGTCTCCTAGATTCCAGCAATGGGAAAAGGAAGACTGGGTAAGAAAAATTGCTGAAGCAGTCAGCTAGATTTGCTACTTGGGTACAAAAATCTTATTATCACTCAAAGATTTATGGGTAAAATGTTGGAAATCTTATTTAYATGACATCTGATTCTTATTTTTATTTTCTTTAAATATTTTTTTAGTTGTCAATGGACCTTTATTTTATTTATTTATATGTGGTACTGAGAATCGAACCCAATGCCTCACACATGCTAGGAAAGTGGGACCTCACTGGATCCAGTGTCCTCCTCTCACAAACTACACTAAGTGTGCCATGAAGCTAGGATGGAGGTAGGGAGACCTGGCAGGGAATACCTCTGAACTTGTAGTACCATACCTGACTCCCTATCTTTCTGGTGGGGTTAGGGGCTGTGAGTTGGGAAAAGTAGGATGAAGCACACTCCAAACAGTGTGACCACTATGCCTTCCAAAGTGCTTGGAACCTTTCAAAATGGTTGAGATTGAACACTCATGAAATTCAAGCTAAAAGAGTACTTCTCAGGTACTAGATGGAAGGGAAGGGCCAAGGGCTCTTAGGGCCTGGTTCTTTTAATTCAGCTTTAAACCTGTCCTCAGCTGGTCAAGTTTCCCCCTTCCCTYCCCACCCTTTTCCACTCTACTTCTCTCCATCCTTCCCACATTCTTGAAGTCCTAGACAATGTCCACAGGTAGCAATCAATTGTTCAACATTCTCTAGGTCCTTTCCAAAACCTCAATGTTTATGATGATGAAAGATTTTTATCAGTATTCCCTGTGACTTTAGTTTCAGATTTCCCTCCCAGGAGTTAAAATCAACACTTTTGCTGGGCACTTGGTATCCATTTGACTCTGGAGGTTGACATCAAGTTCAAGGACAGCCTGGGCAACTTAGTGAGGCCCTGTCTCAAAACAAAAAATAAAAAGGGCTGTGATGTTGCTCAGTGGTAGGTCACCCCTGGTGCAATCTCCAGTACCAAACAAACAAAACACCAAACACCTCAACAATACTTTTGGGTGCTAGGGATCAAGCCTAGGGCTTCCGGCATCTAAGTGCTCTACGACTGAACTACATACCCAATCCCACATTTTCACTATTTTTTTAAATATCAGTTAACATATTCACTATATTACAGGTCTATAAAATGGGACATTTTTTTTTTTTTTCCGTACTGGGGATTGAATCCACGGTGCTTTACCACTGAGTTACATCCCCAGCCCTTTTTATTTTTTATTTTGAAACAGGACCTCACTAAATTGCTGAGACTGACCTCAAATTTGCTATCCTCCTGCCTCAAACTCTCAAATCACTGAGAATATAGGCGTGTGCCACTGTGCCTGATGGGGCAATTTTTTGAGTCATGCCCTATTTCAATCATGCAAAGGATATTGAGTTTGATATCTAAACCTAAAGAAAACCCTAGCAACAGGGTTAATAAAAATGGGCTGGTACGAGGTACTGTTTGGGATACTGAGGGAAGAAGATTCTGAGTGTGAGGCAGGCCTGGGCAATTTAGCAATAACTTGCCTCAAAATAAAATAAAATAATATAAAATAGTGCTGGGGATGTATCAGTGGTAGAGCACTTGACTAGCATTTGTGAGTCTCTGGTTTCAGTTTCTGGTAACATACACACACACACACACACACACACACACACACACACACACACAGTAGCTAGCAACTGGGGCTTGGTGGCACAAATCTGTAATTCCAGCAGCTTGGGAGGCTAACGCAGGAGGATTGCTAAATTGCTAGCCTGAGCAATGAAGCAAGACCCTGTCTCAAAGTACAAAACCAAAAGGGTTTGGGGATGTGGCTCAGTAGTTAAGCGCCCCTGGGTTAAATCCCCAGTACCAAAAAAACAAAAAGTAGCTAGTGTCAGAAGGGCCTTTTATCAGGACTCTGTGCCAGATGTAAGGTATCAGTGGGATGCTCTGGGAACTGGGCCTGGGAATCTCATCCTGATGCACTATAGTTTATGAGACTCTGGCTTAAAGGAATAACCTCTTAGATTCTTTTTTCACATATTACTCTTGCTGGGCTTTGTTTCTTGGGAGCCTGAAGTGAGATACTCTTAAGAATGTGTGACAGGCACAGACTTGTATTCCTGAGCTAATAGTGAGGACAGGTAGGTGGGGCTGGGAAGAGGTGTGTCAAGACAAATGTCCCATCTGGACCTGGCAATTTTACCAACAAGGCTTGCAGGGATGTGCCCTTGTCTAGAGAAAGTACCTGGTTCCCCCTGCTCCAGGTTGAGGAGTTAGGGGTAATGGGAAATAACAGAGAGACCAACAGTATTGGTGGGGGAGGGCTAGAAGGCAAGAGAAAGTATTGGGCTAGGGGCTGGGGATGTGGCTCAAGCGGTAGCGCRCTCACCTGGCATGCTCAGGGCGCTGGGTTCGATCCTCAGCACCACATAAAAATAAAATAAAGATGTTGTGTCCACTGAAAACTAAAAAATAAATAAAAAGAAAGTACTGGGCTAATACCAAGGGACTATTGAACTTCCCCTAGCCCTCAGAGGTGTGGGTTGAAACCTGGGGAACTCAAGAGAGAAGGGGTGGAATGGGTTGACCTTGATTTCACTCAGGGCCTGATAACTATACTAGRTAACTATACTTCATTGTCACTCCAGTTCCAGGGCTCAGAGGTTGGGAGAAGAGCCAAGGTTTGGCAATTCCAGGACATCAAATCTATTGCACCATCTACCCGATTAATGGGTATATCTGACCAATCCACAAAACACTAGATATAAAAGCTGGAGGTAGCTCAGTACTCCATTTCATCCATATTCCTGGATTAAAAATTTAGCCAATGTCCTCTCTGCCTCCACAACAACCAAGGCAATTGTGTTGAATCTTATTCAGGCTTCTCATCTCTACTTTCCCACCTGTGCTAAGACCCTGGGTGGGTTGGGTGCCCTTTTTTTTTGTGCTTTCAAAGACCCATGCTTGCCCATATTGTATAACATAACATCTTGTTCTAATTTTTGGCTTAAATCTCTGTCTCTCCAACCAACAGATCCTATTCCTGGAATAGGATCTGTTCTTGCTGAGCCTGTCATGGCCAGGTTAAGCTCTCTCACAGAGTAGCCAAATGCTCACATATCCACAAGGATTGCTCCAGGGGGCCCTTAGGGGGGTGGGGCCCAAAGAACCTAGCACTGTCTGCCTAYTCAATAAGGACAAATTTGGCCTGGGTGAGAACTTTAGATACCAGGCTAGCTTCCTGCCCACTCTGCCCTATGTCCCAGGAAGCTGCCAAGGATGGCAGTTCCAGCTGGCAAGTGGCAAGAATTTCTTCCTGGAAGGATTCTTGGCTTGAGAACTGGCCCTTGCCTCTTCTAAGCTTCTTTGATGCCCTCAAATTGCTGGGGACATGGAGAAAGGGAGAAAGGAGTTAGTCCCAGCTTTGTTACTATTTCTCAAAACCCTTGTTTCCACCTCTTATCTACCTCAAATGCACATGGCAGGGATTCCCAAGAACAGACTTTCCATACTCTGGGTAGAGGTGAAAGGTGGCACTGGCCACAAATTTAATACCAGAGGGAATGGCACTGCCTCTGGCCATACATCCCATGCCCAGCTGTGACCTTCTTTAACTAAGATAAATCAAAGTGGAAGCCTATCAGAGTGAGGTAGAACAAGCCCAGCATCAAGAGGAGATCTTGCTTGGCTTGCATGAGGTGTGGGTTCAATCCTCAATACCAGAGAGAGAGACCCAGACTCAGTCCTCATTAAGAATTTACTTCAGCGCTGGGGCTATAGCTCAGTGGCAGAATGCTCACGTAGCATGTGTGAGGCACTGGATTCAATCCTCAGCACCACATAAAAATAAACAAATAAAAAAAATTTCACTTCAGACCTGGTGCAGTCTCATGTGCCTATAATCCCAGGAGGATACCAAGTTCAAGATCAGCCTCAGCAATTTAGCAAGACCCTGTTTCTCAAAATAAAAACTTAAAAAGCCTGGGGAAATGACTCAGTAATAGAAAACCCCTGGGTTCAAACCCTAGTATTATCCACCACCACCACCACCACCACCCCCMAAAAAAGAAAAATTCACTCCAGGGACACAGTGGACATGGTTCAGAATCTTGGGAAAACCTCAAACCTCTCACTAAGAATGCAGAGCCCTTCCCTCAGCCCAGGAAATATACCCACTCACATCTACTTTATTTTCCTTTTAATTTTTCTGAAGGATATACACCACATATCCCATGGGCAATAAAGCGCATTCAATGTGTTTATAAGCCAAACAGTCACTTTGTTTAAGCAAACACAAGTACAAAGTAAAATAAACCACAAAATAATGAACTGCATGTTCATAACATACAAAAATTGCCGCCTACTCAGTAGGTAACTACAACATTCCAACTCCTGAATATATGTATAAATTTACATTTTCAGTTAAAAAAATAGACTTTTGAGAGTTCAGATTTTGTTTTAGATTGTTTTCTTACATTCTGGAGAACCAAGGCTCAGCTCAGCCCTCTTTCTTATTTTGCTCCCAAAGCCTCCCCCAAATCAGCACTCCCTGCCCCCCTTAAGGCTAGAGGTGAGCATGTCCCTCACAATTGCACATGTCAAGCCATCAGCAAGGCGCATCACACAAAAGGCACCAAGACGTGAAACTTTTTAAACCAAGAGGACGGAAGAAAATTTTCAAAAGAAAAGAAAAACCAAACCATATTTTGCCACATGTGAGAGTACAGTCGAGCAATATTTACAAAAAGGTTAACGGAACAACACTCTGACACATGCTCTGATTAATACCTAGGACTGCTGTTTCAAAAAAGCTCCAAACTTATTGTCACAGCATCATCACAAAATAGAGGATCACCATTGGTTTGCTTGGCTTTTCTTCCCCCCCACCCCAAGTGAGAATCTAACTCCAAATACAATAGAATATGCAAATTATCTTCACATCAAGAGTACCCCAAGAAAAACAAAATCCATGGCACAGACACTGTACAAGGGTACAGGGCAGGGCTCTACGGGGCCCAAACCCCATTTTGCCAACTCAATTTTCTAGCATTGAAGGGAGCAAGGGGTCAGGCATACGATGGAGATGATACTGAAATGATTTATCCAATATCCATGCAAATCAAGTTCTTTGGATAGAGGTGAAGAACTTGGACATGGCTGTTTCAGGCAGCTGAAGTCAAAGGGAACAGGAATTAGGGAGGAAGGGGAATCAGGAAGAAAGGATTGTTGGCCAACAGACCTTCCACTCTGAGTAGAGAGGGAGGACTTGGCTCTGAGAACCTCCATTTAGGAGATTCCTCCTCTTTCTTAACCATCTCCTCCTGCTGTCCTTTATGTCTCTTGTGTTTCTTTTTTCTCCCTTTTCCCTTTTTTTTTTTTTTTCATTTTTCCTTCAGCAAATTTCAATTGTCCTGGGAGAAAAGGTTGCAGTCATGTCCGAAAGACCTGTGGAGGCGCTGAAGGAGTTGGTGACAGCCGAGGAAGGGAAGCTGCTGACCTGGGTGGGGAATGCAGGGGGAACCGAGGCATAGGTGGTGGCCACAGAGGGTGAGGGGAAGCCACTGTGCACAGGGGATGGATAGGTTGAGGAGCCAGGAGAGGAGTAGGAAGTGGGCACTGGAGATGGGTATGAGGTGGTGGCAGGGGATGGGTAAGAGGTAGTGACAGGGGATGGGTAAGAGGTAGCAACTGGGGATGAGTAGGAAGAAAGGGAGGAGGTGGCCGAAGAGGCCACAACACTTTTGTCTGCTTTCTTGTCCTTCTGCCGCAAGTGGATCTTGGTATGCCTCTTCCGCTCGTCACTCCTGGCAAACTTTCTCCCACAGATGTCACAGGCAAAGGGCTTCTCGCCTGTGTGGGTGCGAATGTGAGTGGTAAGATGGTCACTGCGGCTGAAGTTGCGCATGCAAATGCGACACTGGAAGGGTTTCTGGCCTGTGTGGATGCGGATGTGGCGAGTGAGCTCGTCGGAACGGGAGAACCTGCGATCACAAGACTCCACTGGGCAGGCATAAGGGCGTTCGTGAGGGGGCGTCTTGCTGGGTCGGTTGGGGTACTTGCGCATGCGGCTTGGTTTGATGAGCTGGGACTGGTAGGTGGTATTGAGGGCCTTTAGGTCCTGAGAGCCCGACTGAGTGGCAAAGGCCTTTATAGTAGAGAGTGGAGTAAGTGAAGGCTGCTGGGTACGGCTCTCTAGGCCCTGGAAGGGCTTCTGATCTGGGGTGCCCAGGCCCAGGTCTCCTTGCTGCTGTGGAAACAGGTAGTCGGGGATCATGGGAACCTGGAAGCCACCCTTGGCAGCAGGGTAGGCAGGAGGCGGGTACTGAAGTGCTGTGCCTGCAGAGCCCGGAAAGGCCTGGCTTTGTGGCTCAGGGAAAATGTCAGTGTTGGGCGTGGGGAAGGTGGGTGCCGCTGAGTAAATGGGACTGCTGTCATTGGATGGCACTGCGCAGCTGAGTGGTGGGCTCTGGGAGGCAGAGGAAGAGGAGGAAGCCGCTGGAGATGGTGCTGAAGATGAGGAGGCCGGTGGGTTGGTCATGCTCACCAGGCCACTAACTAAACTGAAGAGGGGCTCAGGCCACAAGGTGTTGCCACTGTTGGGTGCAGGCTCCAGAGAGAAGCGGCCAGTGTAGGTGATGGGGGGTAGCCGAGTGGTTTGGCTGGGGTAACTTGTCTCTACCATCACCTTCTCATTGTTCAGGGAGATGTCAGGAAAAGACTCTGGCAGGAGAGAGAAAGGGGAGAGGCCTGGTTACTGGAGAACAATCACTGGAGAACAAGGAGGACTCTAGCTGCCAGGCAAGAGGTCGGCAGGCTACCATTGACTCCTGAGCTGGTTAATAATTGATAGCAGCAGATTGCAATGTTCCTGGAGCTGCTCCAGTGGCAGAGCCCATTTCAACAGCTGACGCAAATACGGAGAATCCCCCTCCACTGCAGCTCCCAGCGCTCCGCAGCAGCGGCTGCGCGGGTAAGGGATTCCCGCCAGCACCCCCCACGGCCAGGGCTAGTGCGCGCCCCCTACCCTGGGCTGCCGGGACATCCCAGGCCACAAATCTCGGCCCTTCCTTGGGGACAGGCAGTAGGCAAGGCAAGCCTTTCAGGAGGGGGATGGGGGCCCAGCACTGCTCATCAAAACAAGCCCTCCCCCTCTCCACCCACCCACGCAGCTCTAGAGCTCTCCATCCAAAAGCTCAGTCTTCTGCGCACCACTAGGGTCGAGGATGGGGGTTGTCTCCGGGCTTCCTTCTAACACATGCCCCTGGAGATGCACGAATGGAAGGGAAACCCCGATTGCATCCCTGTGGTACGCGAGCACTCCTGCGGTGAAGGATTGGCCATCAGAATGGTAGTAGACAAGGGGGCTCATCGTTGGCTAGGCCACTGCTTACCTGCGGTCAGGTGCTCATACGGCTGCTCGCCTGGCTCCCCCTGAGGGTTGAAGGCGCTGCTGTTGCTGCTGCTGTTGCTGCCGCCCCCTCCACCTCCACCGCCCCCGCTGCTGTTGCTGCTGTTGCTACTGCCGTTGCCCTCGGGGGCCCCGGCAGCACCGAGAAATTGGGGTGCCCCGTTGCTCAGCAGCATCATCTCCTCCAGCTTGGGGTAGTTGTCCATGGTGGGCGAGTGAGGAAAAGAGCCGAACGGGTCGGAGATCTGCAGCGGAGACATCAGCTGCATCTCGGCCTTGGCCGCGGCCATCCCGAACGAGCGGGCTGGAGAGCCGGTGTTGGGGCGGGTGGGCGCAGCCCGGGGATGGAGCCGCCGGGGGGACACACTTGCGGGGGACTAGCCAGGTCACATGCGGGGTGTGGGGTGCACTGGGGAGAACGCAAGTGGAATCCCCAGGTTCGCCTTCGCCGCGGGCTGSTGTGGACGCGGCGCTGCTGCGGAGGCTGGGGCAGGGGCCGGTCCTGCGACGGCGGCGGAAGCTGGCAGCGGCGGGTAGCGGACGGCGGCGGCGGCTCCCCAAGTTCTGCGCGCTGGGATCTCTCGCGACTCCCCGGATCCGCCTCTATTTGAAGGGTCTGGAACAGTACGGATCCGCCTCCGTCGTGACGTACATGGCCATATATGGAAAGCAGGAAGCCCTAATATGGCAGGACCGGCGGGGAGGACCCGGAGTGACGTGAAGCCCCCAGCCAAGAGCGGTGGACACCTACATCCCGCACCCCGGGTCCCGCGACCGCTTTCTCATCCCCAGGGCCCAGGCTTCGGGGAAACCTAGTGCTCGAGCCGCAGCTGGCGCCTCCCGGACTCTAGAGCTTCGGAGTTCCCGACGTTACACCCGCCCCTTCCCTCCTCCTTTTTCCCCTCCTCCCAGAGCCGGAAGCTGCCGGGCCATATCGGGCCACTCCAAATAAGGCGCTGCCCAAATAAGGGCTGTTCCGGCGGGGGATCCTTCCTGCTCCTTATATGGCGTTTCCGGGTCGCTGCTGGTTGCTCCCGCGCTCCCTCCCTCCTCCCAACTTCCAAGCCTGGAGACCCAACGCGCAGRAGCCAGGGACGCCCAGGAGGAGAAGGCGCTAGGCGGGTAGCTCTGGGCGCGCGGCTGTTCAGGCGGCCCCTGGGCGTGAGCTGGGCTGGGGAAACCCAGACACCGAGCGGAGGCGAGGGCGAGTTGGGCCGGGGTTCTGCAGCCGTCATCCAGTGCCCGCCCGCCCACCTCAGGGACCGTGGGAGAGAACTCGGAGCTGAGGGGAGGAGCGGCTGAGCCCGCTGGGGCAGAGGCCGCCCAGGATGGGCGGGGCCCTGATCCTGGGCCTCGACCAATAACATGGCGACTTTCCAGAAGTCGCTAGGGAAACTGAGGCTAGGAAATTATGGCCACATGGTTCTTGGGACACTGCGTAGCAGTCTTCTTCCCCGCTACCTGCCAATGGGCTGGGGCTGTAAGAGCTTGGGGTCTCCTATACCCCACCCAGAACCTAAGGCTGCTCCCTGGACCYTGCTGGAAAAGAACCCACCTTTGGGGGGCAGGAAGAAGGAATTCGTTTGCCCTAGGACAGTCCTGAGTCCTATTCCCACCAGCTTTTGATGGATGGGCACTTCCCCACTTTTATCCAATCCCGGTGGAAGCAGGGCGGACTCTGCAGGATTCTAAAGAAGGGCTTCCCTAAGGGCTGCCTGGGGACCCCAGGCTTAGCGCGAACAGAGGACGTGCTTAGCGGCTTGGTGCTGCCCCCTAGAGGTCCCCTTGCCAGCTCCTTTACCCGGCCCCTGGCCGAGCGGGCTCTTCCGCCGCCTCCTCACTTGCCCTCGCGGCTGCTGTGCTGGGCGCGGAGCCAGGCCGGGGGAGCCTTAGACGCAGTGAGCGCGAACTGAGCAGGCGCCACTGTCTGGGCTCTCCCTGCAGTCCCTGGSGAGGCCGGTACTGCCAAAGCGCCCAGACTCCGGGATAACACTTCCCTCCTCGAGCCAGGCCAAGGGCGCGCGGGAGGGGGTGTGTGTGTGTGTGCTTGGAAAACGATTTCCGCAGGTCTGCAGGGAGCAAGACTTAAACAGGGAAGCCCTCCCCGCCCCCACCACACAGTCAAATGCGCATCCCAAGGGGAACAAGGATTCTGGAAAGAGAAGGTTCATGCTCTAGCTCTGAATTTGGGGGAGGTGGAGTTTTAATTTAAAAAGAAAGCAGATAATGCATGTGAGCGAGGGTGTTGACACTGGAGGGAAGCGGTTGGGTCAGGGTCTTCGTGAGCCCCAACAGCCTCAGGACACCGGGTTTAAATGAGCGTGCCTGAAACAGAGACTCTAGGCTTCATTGCTCTGAATTTGTCCTCTGCCACTGCCCCCTCCCCCGCCTCATTTTCTTATAAAATCAACTTACAGAATCCCGCAGTGATCCGAGATTCTTGTATTTGAACTCCTGGTCCTAAAAGCTAGGGCAAGGTGAGGGGCCCACTCCCATTGTTATCTACCTCCTGTTGTAGGGCAGGAGGGCCAGGCCAGAGAGAATCAGACTGTCCCCGTGTCTGCATGTCCATTTGTCACTCTAAGGTGGGTTACCCTGGCCAAGCTTTTTGTATCTTACTCTTTTCAACTGTAAAATGGGGTTAATATTCATGATATTCACAGGGTGGATTATTGTGAAGACTGAAATTTACATGGGCTGCCATCTGTTAAATCCCAGAGCACAGTGCCTGTCTTGCAGTTGGCATTCCATAAACAGTGGCTATTGTTATTTTCAGGAGCATGGGACCCACAGCATCACCCACCATTCACCCATGCATTTTGAGCCTCCAAGATAACCCCAGTGTGATGATGATGATTCTCCTCCTCCTCCTCCTCCTCTTCCTCCTCCTCCTCCTCCTCCTCCTCCTTCTTCCCCCAAATATTCTTTTTAGTTGTAGATTCACACTATACTTTTATTTATTTATTTTTATTTGATGCTGAGACTCGAAACCTGTGTCTCACATGCACCAGGCAAGCCTTCCACCACTGAGCTACACAACCCCAGCACCCCCAGTGATTCTTTTCTGAAAAGTTGTGCTGATTGGGAAAAATCATTCCAGTCTTGACACAAGATCTTGTCCCTAAGAGGAAATCTAAATTTTTTTTACAGAATATCCTAACCTAGAGCAGAATATTTCAGTCTTGACTGGGCAGCAGAATCACCAGTCAGGCTCTGGAAAGGAAAGACCAACAGAATCACAATCTGTAAGTGACAGCACTAAGCAAACTCCTCAGCCTAGGATCCTTGTGCTGTCTCTGGGGAGCTGCCCAGAGAACATCTTACTCCCTATGCCAGGGCAAACCAATTCCCCAATGATTCTAATGTGCAACCTGACCTGAAATATCTTCAGGTTCTTGCTGAAGCTGGACACCAGAAGTCATCACAGTCTACATCTTTGGTTTTGCATGCCCAATATCACCACCCTTCTGTTGGTAAATATTTTGCAGCCAGCAACTTCCGTTGGAACCACCCCAATTCATGTGGTTGGGGAAAGATAAGCACATTCAAAATCCAAGAGTAAATCTATAATCCAGGCCTGGCCATCCATCTAGGATGCTCTAGAAGAATTGCATTTCCTTCATCATAGATTGAGTCACAATGGGCACATGACCCAAACTAGGGAAATGAGAATCATTTCTGGACTCTTGGGAAAGAATTTTCTTTCCTTGATGGTAGTCAACCAATAGAACTAAAGACTGAGCCCGGTACAGTGGCACACACCTGTAATCCCAGCAGCTGGAGGAGCTGACACAGGAGGATTATGAGTTCAAAGCCAGCCTTAGTAATGGCGAGGTGCTTAGCAACTCAGTGAGACCCTGTCTCTAAATAAAATACAAAATAGGGCTGGGGATGTGGCTCAGTGGTTGAGTGCCCCTAAATTCAATCCCAGATAAACAAACCCCCAATAATCCCCCCTCAACAAAAATAAAAAAGAATGTAAACCTGGAGTGCATCTTGTCCTCTGGACTGGAGAGCCTGCTTAAGAATGAAGCCAATTCATAGGAAGTCAGCAGAGATATGCATGAGAGTAAATGCCTGCATGTGACCTGTGCTTTTTAGTTTTGCAGGTCATTTCTTTTTTTTATTCAATAAAATCAACAGCCTCAGTTTGGTTTCTGTTATTTGTAGCCCAATAGATTCCTTTTTTTTTTTTTTTTTTTCTGTACCAAGGATTGAACCCAGGGGTGCTTAATCACTGAGCCATGTCCCCAGCCCTTTTTAAAATTATTATTTTGAGACAGGGTCTCACTAAGTTTCTGAAAGCCTTGCTGAGTTGCTGAGGCTGGCTTTGAACTTGTGATCCTTCTGCCTCAGCCTCCTGAGTTGCTGAGATTATAGGTATATGCCATTGCACCCAGATCAGATTCCAATTAATGTACCCTTTAATGACAACAACCAAAAACTTCTCTGAGGAGTTACTGTTGGCAAGATCTGGGAATAAGTTCTATGACTTAGATCCCTGCCTTTAGGAGCTTGCACTTGGGTAGAAGGGAACCTGGATTATGTGTTCCAAGAAAATTAAGAATAGGAAGAAAGGAGTTTTGTTAGCCACCAAAAGTTGGTGTCACTAAGAGACATAAGGGATAAAAGGAGGAAGACATTCCGGGGTTCTAGAAAAACAGCAGAGTCAAAGAAATTTTGGAGAAAAAGGAACATGATATGGACCTACCGATCTTTGGTGAGGACATGAAAAGTTGTTTCAGGTTAGGCTTGGGGGTGAAGTGGCCAGGAGGGCCCATGGGTGGTCTGTTTGGAGAAAATGGGGTGTAAAGTGGGGAAACAGGCTGGAGTAGAGGGTTTCTATTGGAAAGTGGCAGAGGTAAGGTTAAATAAAACTAATTTTTTKTTGTTGTTTTTTGCAATGCTGAGGATCAAACCCAGGGCCTAGAGGATGTTAGGGAAGTACTCTACTAGTGAGTTCTATCCCAAGCCCATGCAGTGCTAAGTCTTACACAGTCTTTGCCCTTGTGGAAGCTACTAGTCAATAAAATAGATATAAATAGTTATGCAAATAAAAAGAATAATTCCATATTATAGTAAGTACAATTYATATACTCGGAGGTGAGGGAAGGCATCTTGGAGGAGGCCAGGTAGACAATAGCCTTGCAAAGTCTGTAAGAGAGAAATAAATTGGGCCATGATCAGAGTGGACAGTGAGAATGTCCAGGGTTAAACTGTACCCCTCTATCCTCACTCTCTCCTATTTTACCCTTGAGGCTCATACATGGAAGTGGGCTTTCTTAACTGTCCAGCTCCATGGCAGAAGCCCCTGTAAGACAGCTTCTGCTGGGAACCGTGAGAGGAGCTGAGCTCATCGCCCTGCACACTGCCCTCTGTGGAGAGACAGTCAGCAAGAAGGACAACCTAAAATTTGCCCCCTGGAGAGATTTATGTTGCTGACCTGGCTTCTTAGCAGTGCTAGGGGCATCCCCATTCTAATCTGCCTTTTGGCCAATGGCACACTTAAGCTTGTTGTGATTGGGGCAGTGGGAAAGGGGAGGAGACATAGTAAAAAGAATTGGCCCCTC